CTTGACAAAATTTGGTCAGGCTCCTTCACATATGAAACAGCAAGATTAGTATGCAGCAAATCCTTGTCAATATTCACAGGCGTTACTCTTAAAGGGTTAGCAACGAGATCTGCACCAAAGGGCAAAGCTGATCTTGGACCCTGTGGACCACCACCTTCTATTTGATGACTTTGTTGAGCATCTGTACAGAGGAAGTGCAGATATTGGCAGGGAGCAAAACAGAGATCTTTCAAGAACAACACAGCAAGCAAAGATTCACAGCAAAGGTCGCAAAACAAAACAGTTTTGGGAAAGTGATGAGTGAGCCAACAAATGGGCTTCAGCCTCTAGTCTCAGCACAAGAAGGGGAAGCAAAGTAGAGAGATTTGGGAAAGTGAGACAGACACATGGTTAGGTATTTCTATTTGAGTTATATGGGTTTGGTTTCTTTTGAGATTAAGTTGGAAAATTTTAAAATTAGTTTGAATGGGGGGTAGACTTGGTTAAAGTTTAATTTATTTTTTATCTAGATAGAAGTTTGAGTTTTTATAGTAACACAAATTTAAATATTTTAAATTTTATTAATAAATTAATTTTTTATATATTAATCAATGTAAAAAATAATATTATATTACTTAATTTATTATATATATTAATGACACAAATTATATGTTATATTTTGATATATATTACAAAGTTTGTATAATTAATTATTAATATAATTTTATAAAAAGTATGATAATAACTAATAAAATTAATAACTATAATCATATAAATAAAATTTACTATAAGCTTACATATAAAACATATTAATATATATGTAAGATATTTTAACATCTCATATACATACATATATATATATATATATATTAACTTATAAAGTTATAACAATTAAAGAATATAACTTATTGTTTCATATTAATACAATTTTTTTTTGTGAATATTGCAGGTTTATATATTCTATAGCTATGATTATAATTTGTATACATAGATATAATAAACTAATACATTTTAAATATATTATATTAATAAGTTTACTATATATCTATTTTATTAATTTATATATATTAACTAATTAATATTAAAACGTACATTAAGTATTTTTATTTTTTGTTTAATTTATTATTATATCTTATCATGTATTTTTATAAAATTAAAAAATTTATTTTGTTCTTTTTATCAATTTTTTCATGTTATAAAATTAATGAATTTGAAACTATTAATTTATAATTTATGATTCGATAAAGTTTTCAAAATTGTAAAAAATTAAGCAAAGAAAAACATATTTAAATTTTTAAATATTATAAACTTCAGTATGTATATATTTGCTTTTATTAATATCTATTTTTATAAGGATTAATAAAATTTATAAACAGTTTAAAATATTTTAAGGTCTAAAATTTTAAAAATAGTAATACTAACAGAATTTTCCAATGGAATGTTCCGTTGGAAAATTTCTGTTGGTAATAGCTTTCCATTGGAAACTTTAGCGCACTTTCAATTATTTTGGATCCTTAAACTTTCAGACGGATTTCCAACGGATAATTTTTCATTGAAAAATTTCAATGGAAATTTGTTGAAAAATTTAGTGGGAAAATTTTTTGTTGACACAAAAAAAAATCTCCAACGGATTTCCAACGGAAATATTCCTTTTCCATTGGAAATCTATAAAAAAAAAATTACAAGAATTTCTATTCTAATTCCATTGGAAATCTGTTGGAAATCCGTTATCCGTTAGAAATTTCCAACGGAATTTTTTTCATTGGAAAAAGTATGTTTTCTTGTAATATATGCAGCTAATACATTTTTATATTTTAAATTGAAGTAATATACCTTATTTGAGTCTTCATCAAGAGTTACTAAGTCTTCATCAAAAACTCCTAAGTCCTCATCAAGAGTTACAGGTGGGTCTACATCAAGAATTGCAAAAAGACCTTTTACTAGTGTTCAATGAAGACCTACTACTACTTTAAGACATGGTGGTGTTGTTGGAGGACATGGTGGTGGTGCTTGAACAGTTAAATCTACTTCATCTACAAAGAGGCCTGCTTCAGTTGTTGCTTTTGCTAGATATATTACCCTTGCTTCCTCAATAATGAATTCTGTGAATGTTCTATTTGAATATGGTGTTGACAGTGCTTGAGGGTCACAAACAAGTGTCTCTAATGTTGGTGATATGTGAATATGTGTATCTGATATAATTTTTATGGTGTTTTTAATGGTTGGAATGTAATTACAAAATATGCTTTGTATTTTTTTTTTGCCTTTATTTGTTTGCTATTATCTAGAGATGTGATATTGGATGTTGATTATTGACTTTGATTTTATGATCTTTTGATGTTTAAGAAAATGCTAATTAATTTTTTGTTTACTTACTTTAAACAAAATGGTTGATATATTATATTGTGGTTCATATAGTGTTCTGTTTTGAGGAAAACAACATGCATAGTCATTTATTGTCATTATTGTTACATCAATTCAAATTAAATGTCTCATTATTATGTCTAGTGATCAATATGATGTGTATGGGTGTACAATTGGGTGTAGGTGTCATGCTTTCTTTAGTTTATTCTCATGTTTACGGTTAAACACTTGGCACATGCTAAACATTGGTTCATAAAATAATAAAAAATGTTATGCTTTAAAGAATTAAAATAAAAACTAATCATTTCCATAGCTGTTATTAAGTCTTGAATGTTATTTATTCCATACATATATATACCTATGTATAAAATATTTTATTTATTAAAATAAAAGGATGAACTTTCTATTGAAATATACAAATATGACATTAGGTTAAAAAGAGCACAGATTATATATCAATTGAAACCAATCTAGTCATATCTGCCACTCTTGTATACTTGAGTTTCTTTTATTGTATTTTCAATATTTTTAATATTTTTTTTTGTTCAAAAAAGAATTGAAGACAGTCTACTTTAAAGAACTAAAATAGGGACCAATCATTTCAATGGCAGTTATTAAGTCATGAGTGTTATTTTACTGATGAACTTTCTATTCCAATTTATTTATACTGTCTTAGGACTTCCTTTTAATCATGTACAGATCTATGTAGTGAAATTTCCCCTGATTTATCTATCATTTATTGTTCTTTGTTTAATATTTTCAGTAGTTTGCAATTTCCTTCTTCAATTATAATTAGCATAATAGAGCATTGCCAACTATAAAGTAATTTTTGCTTCCTTCACATTTTAGCTATCGATTTGATGTTATTTGTCTCATGTGAATATTCTTTGTTGTATTGTCATAGCATAAAATTGTTACATTCAATCTTTAAAGCATTTTTATGCTTTTTTTTGTAATTTTTTATTATAAATATTACTAGATTATATTTTATTTTAATATTACTATATATATATATATATATATTACCTTTCTATATTATTTATGTTTTTCCTACATGATTTATAGGTTAATAATAAAAATTGTTGTGTTTTCCTACAATTCTTCCTTTGATTTTCAGCAAATAACTTGATGCATGATGTCATGTGAGATGTTCAATTAGAGATGAATGTTATTTATCACTCATAAAAGAGTTTATTTTTTCATGAATAAGAATGAATTCCTTCGTATTTTAGTTGCTAATTTGATATTTTGCGTTTCATATAAATTTTGTTTGTTTTATCATCATGGTATAAAATTTTTACATTCAATCTTTAGACCATTTTTATCCTTTTCATGCTCTGTAATGTGTTCTTTGCAAGTTGTCTCACAGCATGTTTGTAGATACAAATAGCACTGTGTTACTTCAACTAGAACAATAGTCTTATCCACTAATGATTTTACTTTCTAATAATAATTTACTTTTTTAGATATTGCATACAATTTACTATGGAAGATCCTATTAGACAAATAAAATTGGTGGCATTTGAAAAGCCAACAGAGAAATTAGTGAGTGCTACAATTACAAAGCTTGCAACACTCATGACTATCAATCAAATGACTTTACCTGGATTATAAAAGCCTTGATCCAACAAACAAAGACATTCGTTATAGGTTTAACCTCAAGAGCAATGAAAGCAAGCTTTGCCAATTACAAAATCTTTGACTGTAATGAAATGGAAGACCAACAATCGCCAACTCTCACTCTTAGCAGGACAATTGTACCAGCAACAACTCCACCAACATCTAAAGAACACAACCAAGAACCTCCAGCATCACCAATAAGCAGCCAAGTAGTCAGAGAGCTTTTCCTAGCCCGCACGCCTCAAAAACACGCCAACACAAGCTAGGGAGAAGAATCGCCCACCAAAACTTTTTACCCACATGTGCTTACTAACTAGCCACTAAATTTAGATTGCCAACCACATGTTGCAATGCCTTATTTTTTTTGCATCAAGGCACATGCTATGTAGACCATTTAGATCATAAATTTTGTATATATTTAGAATGAGACAATATATTGACAAATCATCTTGATTTTATATATACTTAGAATACTGATTATATATTAACAAACTAGGTTGAGGAATACATTTTGTTATTAAAGTGGGAATGAGTGTAAAGAATGATAAATACTATTGTTATTACCTTTCATATTGTTGAACATAGCATGTGAATGCTAGATCATTCAGTTTGATCTAATTGCTAGCCATATTTATCGATCTTGCTTGAAATTAAGAGTATGTCGATAAAGGGGAGTTATAATTGTACAGCTATCATGAAACCCTTCTTTGGGCATAAAACACAGGTACACCACCCCCAGCGCAAGGCATGGGCCTTTTTGTAGTTTCAATTAAAAGGAGTGATTTTCAAGTTTCCTAATAAGCGTTGGGCTCACAGGTAAGAAAGCCCGAAAAGCAAGTTCAAATGGGTAAGCATCACTAATTTAGAGTGTCAAAGTTGTAATTTAACAGTAAATCAGCACTGCTTTATTAAAGAAGCTTCATTTCGTGGGTTTTAGGGTTTTTTGGTCTTGTAGCTTGTACGATTTTTTTTTTTTTAATTTTTGGCTTCTGCTTCTGCCTCTTGACCAAAAATGACTGCTCAGACCGACAAAGAGATCGAAGAGATCCTCGCCGCTCATCTCGATCAACAGAAAATTGATGTAATTCTTCTGTTTTTCCCCTTTTTTAGTTCCTAAAATAATGATATTTTCCTTTTTTTTATTGATTTTTTTTGAAATTTTCGTTTGCAGTCGGAACAACCTGAACAGCCCGTGGTTGAAGATGATGATGAGGACGAGGACGACGATGACGATGATGAGAAGGATGAGGATGATGCCGAAGGTGAATCTTCATATTCTTGTTCATTTCTTAAATCTTTAGATTTGGGCTGAAATGTTTTCAATAATGGTGTATTCTTTGGTTAATTGTGTTTGTTTATATGAATGGAGATATGGTTAAATTTTTTTAAGATGCATGGATTAGCGAATCAAGCTGGTTCGCTAGGCGCTCGAGCTCGATTTTGGGTTTTTTGGGATATGCTCGAATTTGACTGCCAGGTCAAGTAGAGCTCGAGTAGTTCAACTAGTCAGTCATGCCCAGTTCAAGAATTTTAGTACTGGTTGGGTTTCTGAACCTTGAATTTGTAGGGGAGCTTGAGAGCAAGCTTTATACTGTTTTTGACTTGGATTGCACTCCTACTTTGGCTCTCCATTAGGTTGTGTTAGAGATTTGGTGCTATGAAAACCCAGAAATCTGCCAAGTCCAGATTTTTTCTCCTTGTCTAGATGTAGGGTCTTGGCCAATGGTTATTTTGATGGTTTAGGATACTGTCTCGTGTTCATCTATGAAAAGATTATTGTCAATGCATAAAGTCCTTGCTTATTGGCTTGCTAAATTCATTTATTGCTTTATGAAACATGGATCACTGGGTGCATGATTTCACATCTGGGGAATGATGAGAAATGTTAATTGGAGAAGTATACTTTAGACAAATGAGCGATTCAATGATGGCTGGGAATTTTTATTTCCTACTGGTCTTTAAGAGATTCAATTTTTTCTATTGTAAATATTTTCAGGACACCATGATGGAGATGGAAGTGGTAGGTCAAAGCAAAGCAGAAGTGAGAAGAAGAGTCGCAAAGCCATGTTGAAGCTAGGGATGAAACCCATTCCAGGTGTTAGCCGTGTCACTGTCAAGAAGAGCAAGAATGTTAGTCCCCTTTCTATATTTTTAATCGTTCATTACTTCTCTTCTCTGCCTTGCTTATTAGTGTTTACTTTGATAACTGATTTCACTGTTGAATTCAGATATTATTTGTCATTTCAAAACCGGATGTCTTCAAGAGCCCAACATCAGATACCTATGTGGTGTTTGGAGAGGCTAAGATTGAGGACTTGAGCTCACAACTGCAGACTCAGGCTGCTGAGCAATTTAAGGCTCCCGATCTCAGCCATGTGATCTCCAAACCTGAGTCATCAACCATGGCCCAGGATGACGAAGAAGTAGATGAGACCGGAGTTGAGCCCAAGGACATTGAGTTGGTGATGACACAAGCAGGAGTCTCCAGGTCGAAGGCTGTCAAGGCACTCAAGGCTGCAGATGGGGACATTGTTTCTGCTATAATGGAGCTAACAACCTAAGAATGGTGTTTGTTAGTGATATGTGATGGATCTAGTAGTAGCTAATTTGGTTTCTGAGATTGTGTGCTTCAGGTCGGATATCCGTTTTTTTTCTTATTGTTTTTGAAATTTCTTTTTTAATGTTATATTTTCTCTTTTCTTGTTACTGTTGTACCAGTATAAACCATTTGGGAGTGAATCTTTTTCTGATAAGTGGAGTACTTTATACCCTATCAAGTTTTGGTTAGTTGCAATCACTCTTCAGCTCTCAGCTTGACTAAGTATGGACTACTCATCAAATCTTCATTGTGAGCAGGTGGTTTTCCCTTTTTTTTTTTTTTTCATTTATATGGACTACATCAAACCATCAACTCTAGATTTGGGTACATGTGATTTTAGGCTTCACGAGTGAGAGGAAACTTTATCCCATTGTTAGGGATGTATACGGGTACCCAGTGTATGTGTCACGGGGTCATTACTCTCTCTCTTATAAATGCGTTTATGGGGGTGTGTAGCACACTTATTTATAAGGAGCCTAGGATCACCTGTTCTTGTCCGATATGGGATAGAGGTATTGTCCTCGTGATACTTTTTTCCATCTGATTACGGCAACGTCTTCGTTGCCGTCGGTCACTCTGTCTACCCCGATTCGTTGGGGCGCTCGGCGTGAGTCGGATGAGGTCCAGCTTGCTTTGATATCACTTGTCACAGGATTATTACTCTCTTCCCCATAAACACGTTTATGAGGGTGTGCAGCACACCCGCTTGTAAGGAGCTCAGGACTTCCCGTTCTTGTTCGATTTGGAATAGAAGCACTTTCCTCGTGACATATGCACCTTGATAATGTAAGGTTAGGTATTCAAATGAGATTTTTGATACTAAGGGTTTGATATTTGAATAAGATTTTAATACCCGTCTTGAGTTTAGTATTACCCTTGCCTGTTATATAAAACATCCCCTCTTCTTCCCAAGGTTTGACTTCACAATGAGAGGCAATTGTATCTCATTATATAAGCCTAAACTCTATCTTTCTAAGGTTTAAACTCAAGATTTCAAAATTGGGGTTTCAGTTTCTTAGTCATTGGAGTCTCTCCTAAGTCCTAAAGGTAACTTAGGGATCGACATGTTTAATTTGGGAATAGAAAATGATCTAGCCTAGCTCCACATGTGTGTATTCATCTCCTCAGTGTAAAAGAAATATTTTGGAGTTGGTTTAGGTCAAGATTGGGGCTGATGAAGTCTAAACCCCAAGCTTTATCGAAAATGGGTTGTGCTTGTGAGGTTGGGTGAGAAGCCTTGTCCATAGACATTTCAGCATGTGTTACAGAATTTGGGCACTGTTTGTCCTTGTAACATTGCTTACTTATTCCATCACTTGTAAGTGCTTGTAAGTTAAGTCTTTTACTCCACCCTTGTTTATGTTAGGAGGTTAAGCGCCATGATTTAGTGACATAATCTTTTCTTGAATTTATAATTAATTACGTGATTCTTTAATTTCATCGGATTAAAAATTTAATTTAATCGATTTAATTCAAAAATAATATATCGATAATCAAATGAACAGAATGCAAATGTCATGTTAAGTACTTCAACAGAAGTAAATACGTACTTCAATCCCACGTAAATATGAGATTTTAAAAAGTTTATAAATGTGGGTATTATACATTTTATCAAGGTAATCTTTTAAGGAGAAAATAATAATTTTAAGATAAAGTAGTATTAGAAGAGTCTATTTTATACAAAGACAACGTCAAATTGAACAGAGTAAGCAAAGAAGAATGTCATGTTAAGCACTTCAAAAGAAAACAAATAAGGAATCTTAGAAAAAGAGGGCATTGAGCACAATGATCAAGTAGAATGTTATACATGAAAGTACACAAAGGAAAATTAACAAACCAAAACTAAGAGGAAATTTTTATTTTGAGGAAGATTATTTTTGAAAAAACATTTACGAACATAAATATTTGATCTAGATATTTGAATTTTTAATTTGACTAAAATGATTTCAATTTAGTAAAGAGAATGAAAAATATTTAAAAAGATGGAACAGTGTGAAACCTTTTTACCATTATATTTTTTTTATATTTTTTCATTCTTTCTTCTTTTTTATGTTATTTTTTAAAATATTTTCTTTGAAAATTTTATAATTTTAAAAATTTACTACAAAACCATCAAATATAAAAATTTCTCAATTAATATTTTAAATAAAAACTAAACACTAGTACATGTAAAAAAGTATATGTATTTTAAAAGTAAATTGTAATAATGATTTAAATAAATTGAATTAAATTTTATTCCGTAAAAATGCGTGCACAATCAACTAGTTTAATTATATTTGGAAATAAAATTCCTCAACAACCCTAATTTTATTCATCACCTTATTTGAAGATAAAAGATCAAATTATCAATTTAGTATCTATACTTTACCAAAATGTTACATTTAATCATTTGCTAGAATTCATATAAAATGATAACTGGTGTTGACATGACGTAAATCGAAATTAAATTCATATGTTGGATGTATACTACCTAAAACTTGATCAACAATATGCTAACATCATTATCAATGGGTCAATAACTTTAACTACAGAAATTTAAAGATATTAATAATTAAATTTATATAAATAAATTTTAAAAATATATGAACTCGATTTATAAAAATTATAATATAAGATTTGTCAATGACGCGCTATCACTAATGAAAGTTATATTAACATGGTGAATGACACATTAGCAATTTTTACAAAAAAAAAAATAGTAATAAAATTTTAAAAAATAAAGAAGTAATTTAAAGGAATTCTAATAAATAAATGAATTAAATTCGATATTTTGATAAAGAATAGTACACTGTAAAAAGCTCATGACCGTACTATCAATGGGACTGTACTGTCGATGCAGAGCGCGGGAAAGAGAAAAAAATCAAAGTTTTGGTATCCAGTTAAGCAAAACAACCTCGTAAGAAGAGACAAGGGAATACCACTCACTCTCTTCCCTGCTCTCCAGACTCAACGGAAGAAATGGCGAGGAAGAAGAAACGGAGCTGGAAGGTACCAAAGATTTTGTGGAGGATCTTCAATGAGAAAGCAAGGAACCTTGCCACCACTATTACTTGTATAATCCCTCCTCCTCCTTCTCAGCCTTTTCCAATTACTTGCCGTTGCCAAGGCCGTTCTTGTCTTCAATGCTGTGAAGATCCCATTTCTTTTCTCCTTCGACCCGATGACCCTTTGGATTATAAGAAGCTTCTCCATGATTGCTTTGTCGTCGTTAATGACGATGCTCCTTTCCTTGAGTTTAATCCTGATCGACATTGGTCTCAAAAACAGGTCTGGGTGTGGTTCAAAAATGTTTTCTTTTTCTTCCCCTTTCTTTGTTTCTTAAATGAAAAGCCCTTTTAACGGATTCTTTTGGTTGTTTTTGTTTTTGGTTTCAGATTGTGGGAAGGGTTATTGAGATGATGTTATTTCAAAGACCCAAGCCTTGTAATTTAATATGCACTGGTTACAACAAGGCAGGTGCTTTCTTTTGGCTGCTTCTCTTGTTGGTATATCTTCATGTTGTTTGGATGGAGGTTATTCTTTTGTTTGGATGGATCATTAGAAGGAAGAGGGCGGAGGGAGGGGAACCTTGATCTTTTCCTTTCTCCCATTTGAAGTCCTTTATTGTTTCGATGCCTCGAAATTGAGGGAATGGGAGAGAAAGGGAAGTCTTTCCTTCCAGGGTAATATTGTAAAACTATGTGATTGATTCTTTCTTCCCTTCCCCTTTCTCCTTCCTCTTAGATTTTTGCAATACACAAGCATCCGAACCCTTCATTTCTCCTGTTCAACCCAATCATGGCGTTAAGTTGTTTACAGTTCCTTTATCATTTTCATATAGAACATTCTCATTTTGAAGAGTGATGACTATATTAACCAAGTAATTGCAGTCCTTGATTACTTCAATTTTTCCATTCAAACTACTTTTTAAATGAAGCATTATAAGCATTAGACAAGTGCTTGTACTCTTGGTGAGAGATTAGAATAAATATTTTTGGAAACCATAGTTTAAGTAAGTTCTTTACCAGGAATGAAAGTTATAGTTGCAGTGTTCTTATCATGTATTTATTTGCATTATTATCTCTTGTTACCATAACTTGTTGTAGTGCTATTAAACCAGTATGTGGATTCTTGATTGGAGCATGCTAGGCTATAAGGATTTGACATATGCTTGTGGTAATATTTTGCTTAAGGTTTTCTTTCTATTTTTCCTCCATAATTGTTTGTGGCAAACCTTTTGTATTGACATAACAGCTTGCAAGATCAAGCATGATTGTAGAGCTTTTAACGTCTTCAGCTTGGGATATTCTACTTGAAAGGGTATGTTGAGGCTTAGAAATTGTTATTCCATCTGTCAAGTAGTTGTGCTCTTGGTATAATAATTTTATGCACTCTGTACAATTCCTGAATATGGCAGGTTGGGGATGAGTGCATGGTTTATCTACTATGGCATACATCAATATTTTTGCCCCTTTCTCACAAGAAACACCTTCAAGTTGCAGGTTCTCCTATCAATAAGTTATGCAAGAAGTTGTCAAACAATGAAACAAAACCGAAATCTGGTATACAAAAGCTGAACATATTGTGTGTGTTTGTGCACATAGATAGTTATAAAATACCACTTTTATTGACTTTTGTTTACAACATTAATCTCTGTTTTTGTTTGAATTCCTCTGCTAAGTTTCATTAGGTTTCTTCAATTAAAACTAATCTTATGGCAAGTGGTCCTTGCCTACCTATCATATGGATCAATGAATTCTCCCAATCAGAACAGCATTATGGGATTCTGAAACTCATATACATTACTTGAGGGATGTATCAGAATTTGTTCTAAATATCAAACGCCAATGTGACTGTCACCTGCAATCAGAACATATACTATAAATAGTGTTGCTTGATAGAAAGATAATATAGTCATTAAAATTTATTAAATACTAATTCTATGGTGTACTTCCAGTCAGAACAACATTATGAGGTCCAGGAACACATACACATTACTGGAAAGATGAACTTGAAGAATGTTCCAATCTATTAAACAACAATGTGGTTGTAGCTAATCCGTTAGCCGGATAAGTATTGTTACTTGATAGAAAATAAAACAATTGTTATAATTTATTAAAAGTAATATTGTGAATACTATGTTTGCACTTTGGATTAGTTCTTATCATTTTTGGAGTAATTAAGCATGGCAGAATACTCTTAAAGGGTTACATAAT